TGGTCATTTTGGCAAATCCAACAAAAGTTAGTTAAAATCGTATATTATAAGGCATTTTTGGTCACTGAGGTTATTTTCTCTTTATTTAATGCATGGTTATTAGATTAATAATTAATTTTTGTAATTATTTATTTTTAGGAGAAGGACCGTGTATTAGATCCTTTTATTAGGAATCTTAAGTTTGTGATACCCAGCCGTGTCTTGCTGTATTTAGTAGAGGCTGGATTCGGTTACATAGGTAGATATCAGGATCACTGTAAGATAGAGCCAGACCTGATTTCTGCCTTAGTAGAACGGTGGAGGCCGGAGACCCACACATTCCATCTTCCGTGCGGAGAGTGCACGATCACGCTTGAGGATGTTTCTATGCACCTGGGGCTTCCGGTGGATGGAGATGTGATATCGGTGATAGCTTCCGGTTCTTGGACTACTTTGTGTCGGGATAGTCTAGGACGTGTCCTGGAAAATATTATCGGAGGTAGGATACCGTTAAATTGGTTAGATGCCAATTTTCGGGAGTTGAGTGCAGACGCCTCTAAGGATGAGATTAAGATGTATGCACGGGCATGCATACTGCAGCTGATAGGAGGGTTGGTGATGCCGGACAAATCGCGCAACCTAGTTCACTACATGTGGTTGCGACATCTTAGCGACTTTCGTCTCGCCGGATCATTCAGTTGGGGCTCGGCAGTTTTGGCTTTGTTATATAAGGAGATGTGTGGAGCCACTGACTACAGGCGTAATGCTATCGGCGGATTTCTCCTGCTGTTGCAGTCTTGGGCATGGTATCAATTGCCCTTTTTATGTCCCATTGTGAAGAACCCATTCGTATTTCCACTACTTCTGAGGTAATTATAAAACTGATTTTGTATATTAATAATTTTATACAGCGTATAACAAATTTTTTCCTTGAATAGGTGGTCTACTGATAGGAAAAATCATCAGGAGCTACATGATGATTTAGAAAAAATTAGGGTGCTAATCGATCAGAAGGCTGGCACACAGTATGAATTTTAATATTTAAAAATCGATTTTAGATTATAGTTATATAATTAAATTATTATTTTGATAAAAATTATATATTATTTGTTTTAGTTTGAATGGGTGTCATATTCTACTGATGATGTGAGGGCGGTGATCCCACCTGAGTTGAGGGGTCCATCAGATGTTTGGATGACGATGGTCCCTCTGATCTGTTATGTGACTGTCGAGTGGCACTCCACTGATAGCGTGCTCTGGCAGTTTGGTTGTTTTCAACCAATTCCAGAAGCACCTCGCAATATGGACGAGTAGCATAGCTTAGATAGACGCGGCAAGACAGATACAGATTGGCTGGTGAGGCATCATGGGTGGGTCATGTTGTGGGAGGATCGACATCGGTGCCTTCCCCGTAGAGAGCCCATTTTTTATGACCTCTTGATGTACGATGAGGATTATTATGAGTGGTTCAACAGTAACAGGAAACCGTTTATACTTCCCAAGGATGCACGAGGTCAGACCTTTCTACGACGTCGACAGAGACGTTCACCGACACAGCACCATCGGCCCCCGACTCGTGGACGGAGAGCAGGTGCTTCCGGTTCATCCTCAGCTGCACCAACAGGACCTTCCCAGCAGCCATATATGATGTCGCAGCCCGTACATTGCACCATAATCAGCTTCATACATGTGTGCAGGAGGGTCAGTTTGTGCCACATTTCCTGGAACTTCATCATCATCGGAGTTGAATTGCGGTGATTCTGGGTGAATGAATAGTCCAGTCTCAGCACCATCCGCACCAGGTCGAAGAACCTACTACTTGCACGCCTTCCCCTTGAACTGGAAGGCATATCGACATTGAGATCGAAAAAGCTCGCAGTCGAATGCCTCCCCCTGGAGCTTAAAGCCATAGTGTCAAATGGAAACTGCACAGATGGTTGCGTCGATGACATCTCTATATGGTCAAAGAAATTTGCAGATGAATGCCTTCTCCTTGAACTGGACGCGGTGTTTCCATACGGATTGTTCGTGAACCCACCTCGATACATATCGTAAGGAGTTGCGGATGAATGTCTCCCCATTATGGCATTAAAATCATTACACATTACTGTAGTCGAGCTGTCAACTTGATCAACTTGTTCAGCCAACCCATAGTCTGAGCTTAAAGATTGACCCCGAACAGTACGCACTTGAACAAAATATGCATACATCTCAATAGAGGCGTCTGAATAATTACTTTGAGCTTCAACCATCATTTGAACATCATTATTGTTCGAAAGTTCGAACGTTGTATAAGTTAATGGCAACAATGATGTTGGAAATCTGTACTGCAACGACGACATTCTTCTATTACTTCCAACATGAGTCTTCCTCGAAATCTTCGTTATCAGCTCCTCAAGTTATGTTTCTCTTGAATGATATTTTAACACACTCATTTGATACAAAAACAACGTCGGTTTCATCTTCTCGAATTTCACCATCATAATAAACAATAGCTCAAAGTCGCGCTATTCTTTGAGTTTAAAAGTGCAGCAATATTATATCTGCAGAAAAAAAAACTTAAACAAACCTGATTAAATAAATTATATACAAACGAAAATATAACACAAAATTTTTTTACACATCAACGTAAATAATTTAAATAATATAATTTTATATTATTACCTGCACCGCAAAACTATTTCGACGTATGCTCCCGCTTTTCAATTTTACAAACATAAAAATTAATTGAAAATAATTAGTATAATATTTTTTCAAATAATGATAATAAACAATAAGTATAATTAAAAAATTAGAACAAAATTACCTTATAACGAAAAATCGCACGAACTTCTAAATCAAATATGAGAAGATTTCCAGAATTATTACTCGTTGACGGAATTGTTGTATTAATTTATAAGAGAGGAGAGATGCAGGAGATGTGAGGAGAGATGCGATATTTATAAACATATAAGGCGCGGTACCGGCACCGCGTTATATATAATTATTATATAGCGCGGATCAGGTACCGCGTTAAATATAATTTTGGTACGACGTATAACGCGGCCCCTGATCTGCTCTATACCCCTACGTGGCGTATAGCGCGGAGCAGGGGGCATGCTATACTCCACGTGTAGCCCAATCAGCGTATAGCGCGGTACAAGGGGCGCGCTATACTCCACGTGGCGCCAAATCAGTATATAGCGCGGTTCAGGGGGCATGCTTTACTGCTACGGGTGTTAGATCAGAAAATATAATCTGACCGGTGTTAGATCGGTAAATATACCGATTACCGGTGATTTTTGGGAAAAATCGCCCAAATCAAGTGAACTTGATTTAAGTTTAAACTAGATTCAAATTCTTAACGAGCTGAAAATGAGCTACTTAATATATGACTCAAAACTCCGTGAGCAACTAAAAAAAGATTAAAATTTTAACTTTTAATTAAATTATTGATAATGTTAACAACTACATGTTTTTAGATACAATATAAACATTTCATGTATTTAAGTTTCAAGTTCGAATTCGAGTTTGGATTTGAATCGAGTTCGTGTTTGAGCTTCAATTGAGTGAAGTCTGAAAGTGATTTGATTTTAAGTTTTTTCCAAGTTCGGGCTTCAATTTTTGATTTTGAGTTGAACTTGAAATTTGAAGCTTACGAAATTTCGAGCCGAGATTAATAATACTCTCCCATTTACAACTCTAATTTTATTAGTAATCTCGCTCAAATTTCACTGTCCTAGAAGTAATTTTACCTAGATTGATGTAAAAATAATATTTTGTATAAATTATATTTTAAATTACTTTATTTGAAAATAATATAATAATTTTACCAAATAAGCTAGAATTACAAAATAGTATCTCATCCTATTATAGTTGTAATTTTTAAAAATAATAATGATTAATTTAATCATTGAGAAAAAATAATTGGTACTACAATGTAACAATTGTATAATTGACACACGTCACAACTAGAGTGAGTGCATAAACAAATTCTTATGTCTGATGTGAAGTTATTCGGGTATTTTATTTGAGTCAAATCCTCTCATGTTTGATTTCCTAATAATCTTTTATTGGTTTTTAAATTCAAAGTTATTTATAAAAAATTAGAATATTTAAAATTTAAAATCATTAAAAAATCAACCACTTAAAAAAATATATATCAGTATAGTTTAGGATAACCCTTTCATATTTAATTTCGGAAAATCTCCAAAAATATTCATTAAATAAAATCATAGTAAATCAAAATTTACCACAACCATATCCACTACCATGAATTCAAACTACATAAAATCCTTACCCATCACTTCGTGGTCCCCACACTACTTTTCCGTTTTTACCCCCCGTAATGATCATATACCAGCAATCTCATCAACTATCATGATGAAATCAAAGCCGTCAATCCTTCCTTGATCTAGCGTTGTAGCTCCGTTACGCAATTTGAGAGAATATATATTATTCTCATCGAGTATGAAAAGGACACTGTATCAATTAAAATATTTATTCTTAAAAAACTTATATTTTATATTAATTACCTTTTTAAATTGAAAATTTAATATAAAAATTATTAATTTAAGAAAATCAACTCGTTATAAATGCAGCTCTCAAAATAGAATTAATAAAAAAAACATTACAGTATGAGAAATAGAAATCATATAAAATATTTCATATGATTTGATTCCTATTATAAACACACCTCTATGCAATTATAAATTTACCTTATTCTTCTAGATTTTACTGAACAGATTAATATGTGGAAAAATAGTAGTAAATAGGATACGTAACAAAGGTAAACTTAACATAATAGTGCTCCTTTTTTGTATCTTATGTATTTATATTATTGTGAATCTGTGATCTAAAACTCAGCGAGTGAACGGTGAAGATGAAATTACCAAAAAATATTGAACGGTAGAGATAGGGTGAAGTATGGTAATAGTGTAAGTCCGCGAAGCAGAGGAGACGATTACACCACGAAAACGTAGTACATAATAGAGGGGAAAGCTAGGCGTTGCTAATTTGAGTATTTTAGTCGCTTTCAGTATTTGTTTGGTTTGCAGACTCGGAGCGAGTGAGCTAGAAAACGAGGATCGTTGAATTTTACAGCCTCTTCAAGTTCTTTTGGGTTTCTGTATTTTTCTACTCTCCAGATTTCAGGTCTGATCTCCAAACATTTTGGTTTCATATTTTTTTCCTGGGTTTTTGAGTTTTTTTTCCTTGAAAAATGCTGGTCTTTGTTGCTGGGACGGCTGCTACGTTGAATGTGTTTTTCAAGGGTTTGTTTCTATTTTAATTATGATCTGGGTTTTCTTTTTCTTGTTTTTGTTCTTAGATTTCCTTTTTTTCTCTTAAAGTTTTATTTTGTTTGGTCTGACGTCGTCTGTTTTTTCTTAAGCAATTTTTTGGAGGCCGTAGGTTGTTGGCAACGTACATTTTGTGACTTCAGCAGGCTCTCAGTTACCTTGTTATTTTATTTTGCTTGTTTTTTAAAGGTCTTAAAAGTTTTTTTGTGACATTCTTCCGAATTTATTTTATTTTATTTCATTTGTTTTTTTACTTCATTCATTTTTTTTTTATTTTTTTCCAGTATTTACTGTCTTGACGTTGTTGATGTTCTGCTAAAGTTAGTAGCTTTTTCGTATATTTTTGTAAATCCATCTAATCTGATTTATGATTGGTTAACGTTATGATTTTTATGCCAAACACCTTTTTTTATCGATATCATACTAACGTCTGTACTGTCCAAAAGTTCATGTACTCGTATTGTGCCAAAGGTACCGACTATTTCGTATTTCTTCCTTGAATACAGCAAACGCTTATGCATACTGGGTTAAAGTTGACATTTTTATGCTGAATAGCTGTATATTTACCTCTTATTAAAATTTGTTGTTGTATTTCTTCTTTTTTATCGGTAATCCTCTATTCGTTAGGTCACCGTCTTTTTGTTATTGACCCTCAATTTTAAGGTGTTATTTTTGGCATTTACTATGCTTATCTATGTTTGCATGTTTTATTTTTTAACATTTTCCTATATTTAAAAAATATTATTTGATTTTGATTTAATGTTTTTGTTTCTTTTTGGTTGCTTGAATAATTTCACAGTCTTTATGCATTTCTCTGGTTCGCTGAGCTCCTTTGCATGCGTATTTGTGTTTCTTTTGATACATTTGTTAATTTCTATGTGTTTCAACTATGCTTGCTAATATATATTTTACCTTCTTTTTTAGGATATGGATTCGTCAGAGCAAGAAGGAAATGGTGCGGCTCCAGAATCTCTTCCCCCTCCACCACCTGTGCCTCCTGATGTGGTTCCTATCAAAGCAGAACCTGATGCTGCGAAGAAGAAGACAGTATTACAACCCATGGCCAGGCGTGGTACTGGATCGAAGGGGCAAAAGATAACTATTATAACTAATCATTTTAAAGTGAATGTGGGCAGTACTGATGGTTACTTCTTCCATTACAGTGTATGTAATTGGATTTCTTGTCTCCACGATTTTCTTTTCTTTTATTCTCATTTGTTGTTTTGTAAACATTAATTATTAATGTAAGTTCTTCAACAGGTCTCTCTTTACTATGAAGATGGTCGCCCAGTGGAAGCTAAGGGTGTTGGAAGGAAAGTAATTGACAAAGTGCAGGAGACCTACAGCAGTGAGTTGGCTGGGAAGAATTTTGCCTATGATGGTGAGAAAAGCTTATTCACTATAGGATCCCTTCCGAATAACAAGCATGAGTTCACCGTCGTACTTGAGGATGCTATATCAAAGAGGTAGAAATGCACTTTAGATTGATTTCTAGTATGTATACTGTTCCAAGTTATTCCAGTTCTAACTCGTGGTATCTTTTATAATCAGAAACAATGGGAATGCAAGCCCGGGAGGTAATGACAGCCCAAATGAGCGTGAAAGGAAGAGAGCAAGACGCACTTATAATTCGAAGACGTTTAAAGTGGAGATAAGCTTTGCTGCCAAGATTCCCATGCATGCAATTCAAAGTGCACTGCGAGGACAGGAGTCTGAAAACTCACAAGAAGCACTAAGGGTGTTTGATATAATTCTAAGGCAGCATGCTTCTAAACAGTGAGATTAAATACTACTCTTCGCATATATATACATTTTGCAGTTTCAGGATGATGTATTTGTTCTGATAATAACCTTCACTTTCACAGGGGTTGCCTTCTTGTTCGCCAGTCTTTCTTCCATGACAATCAGAATAATTTCACAGACATTGGAGGTGGTGTCCTTGGCTGTAGGGGTTTTCATTCGAGCTTCCGAGCCACACAAGGCGGCCTATCACTTAATATTGGTTAAACTCTAATCTCTCATGGTGCTCATGCTTTGTATTTATTGATTAATTACATGTTTCAAATCTTTTTTGTTTCAGATGTGTCAACTACTATGATAATTCAACCAGGTCCAGTAGTTGATTTTTTAATTGCCAATCAGAATGTCAGAGATCCCTACTCCCTCGACTGGACCAAGGTAATAAACACCTGTCATTTTGTCAATGTAATTTTGAATTTGTTTGCATCATTTATTTATTGGTTGATTGGTATTGTTGTGAAACTTTGAATAGGCCAAAAGAGTGCTTAAGAATCTCAGGATTATAGTTAGTCCATCCAACCAGGAGTACAAGATCACTGGATTGAGCGAGCAATTATGCAAAGATCAGATGTATGGTTTCCTACTTTATACCAGTGCATTTTCTTTGCTAATTCATTTATTTTATTTTGAGTTGTGCTGCTTGCATCTTGTGAGTGAGTAATTGTTTTATTTGATGTGTACTGTTTACTTGATTTAGGTTTTCAATGAAGCCCAAAGGTGTGAAGAATGAAAATGGTGAAGCAGAGACAGTGGAGCTTACAATATATGATTACTTTGTCAACCATCGTAACATACAATTGCGTTATTCTGCTGATTTGCCGTGCATTAATGTTGGCAAGCCAAAGCGTCCCACATATATTCCCATTGAGGTGGTTATCTGAACTGTGTTTTGTTTAGTTAAATGATAATCAATGAATGCTCAGCAACTAATTATGGCATGTATTTTGTGGTGTATCTGTTGTGATACTGTAGCTTTGCTCTTTGGTGTCCTTGCAACGCTATACGAAAGCTTTGAACACCTTGCAAAGAGCTTCCCTAGTTGAAAAATCTAGGCAGAAGCCACAGGAAAGGATGAATGTGTTGTCAAATGTAAGGTCTCATTTTTGAAGCTTCCGAATCACATTTTCATATGTGCTATTACTTGTCCACCATGAGTTTTGCAAATTCTTGTGCAGGTTTTACGAACAAGTAATTATGGTGCTGAACCAATGTTGCGATCATGTGGGGTTTCTATAAATTCTAATTTCACTCAAGTTGAAGGTCGTCTTCTGCAGCCCCCAAAGGTGGACTTATAGTATGCCTTTGCGAATTGTTCCCTTGTATTACAAGCATTTATGCTTTTTGTTTGAGGATTTTATTTATATTAATGTTTGTACTAATTGGGTTATCTTTTGATTTCAGTTAAGAGTGGGCAATGGTGAAGATTTCATTCCGAGGAATGGCCGTTGGAATTTTAACAATAAGGTCATTGTTCTTTGTAATTCTGCAGCTTTCTATACCATATTTGTTTATTCTGTTATTTCTAAACACATTTATGTTTTCACAGAAATTGGTGGAGCCAACTAGGATTGAAAGATGGGTTGTTGCTAACTTTTCAGCTCGTTGTGATCCACATAACATTGTGCAAAGCCTGATCCGGTGTGGAGAAATGAAAGGAATTGTATGTTGGAATCCACTTTTTTGTTTTGACAGTTTGGGTTTGCTTGTTATTGTGGAATTGTAATTTAGGGTATTCATCTGGTAGGCTTAACATCTATTGATTTTCTCTTTTCAGAAAATAGATAATCCATTTGATGTATTTAATGAGATGAACCAAAATAGACGCCTCCCTCCGGTTGCTAGAGTTGAGAAAATGTTTGACCTTATACAATCTAAACTGCCTGGCGCTCCACAGTTCCTTCTGTGTCTGCTTCCTGATCGGAAGAACTCTGATCTCTATGGTGAGCTGAATCTCTTCTGTTCATATATTGACGCGTCTTGCTTGATGTCATTTCCTTGCATTTAACATTTAATTTTTTAAGGTCCATGGAAGCGGAAAAATCTTTCTGAGTTTGGTATAGTGACTCAGTGTATGGCACCCACTAAAGTGAACGATCAATACCTTACAAATTTGCTTCTGAAGATAAATGCCAAGGTTCTGTGTTATTGTCAATTTTTTTTCCTATTCCTTAAGTAGTTCTAACTTCCAACTCCTGTAGCTATGTCAGTAGGTTTATCCTTCTCTTTGCAAGTAAACCTGCTAACTTCTCAATCTTTATTTGCTTACAGCTTGGTGGATTAAATTCAATGTTGACCATTGAGAGATCAATACCTATGGTTTCGAAGGTTCCAACTATCATCCTTGGCATGGATGTGTCACATGGCTCTCCTGGGCAGTCGGATGTCCCGTCGATTGCTGCGGTAGAGATGACATAATCCCTCACAATTGAATTTCATTAGTTTCCATATGTTATATGCATTAGGTTTTAGGATTTTTTTGTCTGAATTACATTTAATTGTAGGTGGTTAGCTCCAGACAGTGGCCACTGATTTCCCGCTATAGGGCAGCTGTGCGTACACAGTCTCCAAAACTTGAAATGATAGATTCTCTCTTCAAACCTTCTGGCAAGGATGATGACGGTATTATGAGGTGTGTTTCAATCACAAAGTTTTAAGGTTAATTTGGAAATAAATATTGACTAAAAATAATATTGTATCTTGTGGTAGATATTTTTCTTGTAGATTGTAAATTCTGTTGTTTGTTGTGTACTAACATGCTTTTCACTGATATCAGGGAAGCTCTTTTGGATTTCTACTCAAGTTCAGGGAAGAGGAAGCCTGATCAGATAATCATATTCAGGTTACTTTTTGTTTAAGATTATACTGTTTATCATGTTTAAACGAACCATATATAATTTGAAGAATTCATTGTTAGGGAAATTGGGTAAAAATTTTGCTGTTTGTCACGATTTCCTAATCCATGTTTTATGTTGTCCTTTTATTCATGTGAATTTGTGGATATTTTTTCCTCAAGTTTCTGTTGTGTTTTATTGAGATGCCTTTGCTATATCACTTTCCTGCTTTGATTCAGGGATGGGGTTAGCGAGTCTCAGTTCAATCAGGTTTTGAACAAAGAACTGGATCAAGTTATAGAGGTATGCTGTAGTTCCTTATGTTCTATTCTTGTGCTATATTGGTTTTTTGCTTTCATTCTTGCCCTAGGTGTGTAAGGATAATAATTTGTGTAGAAACTTTCTACTATATAGGCTTGCAAGTTCCTCGATGAGAGTTGGGACCCAAAGTTTGTGGTGATTGTTGCACAGAAAAATCATCATACTAAGTTTTTCCAGCAGGGATCTCCGGACAATGTGCAACCTGGTTTGTCTCGCTCATTTGATATGTGTCATTTTTTACCACTGTTATAATCGTTGGAAACTGACGTCATTTTAATCAATGCAGGAACTGTGATCGACAGAAGTGTCTGCCACCCGAAGAACAATGATTTTTATCTCTGTGCTCATGCTGGGATGATAGTAAGTTTTTATAGAAATTTAAGTTGATTCATGGTTGTGGATGATTTTGTTGTTGTCTCAGTAGTGCAAAATCTCTGATAAATTCATGATGAGAGCTAATGTTTATATAATGTATGGTCCTTGTTCAGGGAACCACAAGGCCAACCCATTATCATATTCTCCTGGATCAGGTTGGCTTTTCAGCTGATGATCTGCAGGAACTTGTCCATTCTCTATCCTATGTGTAAGTGTGTATTCACACTATTCCATTACAAATGATTAAAGCTTTGTTCACTATTGCACTCATAATTTGGGGGACCACTGCAGGTATCAAAGGAGCACCACTGCCATCTCTGTCGGTGAGTATATTCTGGAGTTTCTACCCCTATTTTCTATCATATGGTCGATCTTGTAATTCCTTTTCTTGTGTATGTGATTGTTTCGAACCTTACATCGTACTTCCTATTGGTGCAGTTGCTCCTATTTGCTATGCCCACTTGGCTGCTTCACAGTTGGGACAATTCATGAAGTTTGAGGATGCTTCCGAGACATCTTCCAGTCATGGCGGTGTTACTGCTCCCGGAGCCATTGCTGTCCCTCAGCTTCCCAGATTGAAAGAAAACGTCAGCAGCTCAATGTTCTTCTGTTGAGAAAGAACCACCACGTTTGAACCAGTCATTTTGCATAGGCTTTTGGATTTAGCCTACATAAGACTATCTTAGTTATATTTTCGAAGTAAACCTGTTTTCGAGTTTTGCAATGTTATCTATAAACATGAACGGTTGTTGACTAGCCAAAGCCCTCTTCTCTAGTGGGCATGTTTTTGGCTTGTTCAAGGTTTCATCAGCTGGAACTGGAATGTGTTATTCTTTACTCTTTTGTTATGTTTGCTGGTGTTTTTTTGTTCAGCAAAGCAATATCTTTTTAGAGTTAGAACTGAAATTGAAAGCAAAATCTGGCCAAATTCTATACTGTGAATTCATTTCCTGCATATGGAAACCTTTAACGTCTAATATAGACGTACTCGATATGAACTAAATGATAATATTTATTTTTCAGTGCAACAAAAATAGAAAATATAAATTTTAGAGGACTCCCAGTAATTTAATTAAATATTTACTCTAATCCAGCCCTTGCCTTGTCAGAAGGGTTCCCCAATTGCATTCTTCCATCCAAATTTCAGCTGAATTTCTGCAGGTTGATATTGAGGTTCCAAATCATATCTATTTTCACTTTTACTGCCTTGTAATTTTATACTACCATAGGTTATAATATTATGGTACGTGTCTACGAATATTTCCAGATCCCCCCCCCACCAAATAAAATTAGCATATATTTCATATCCAAATCCAAAACAAATGTGTTTAAAGACATGATTTTATCATTAAAAAAATCAATTAATGCAAACTTTATCATCCCCGTTTAATAATCAAAATTCATCTTTTAATTAATTTTTAATTAAAGTTTCTAATCCCATTATATCTCTAAAACATAAAAATAATATTACATTTAATATATATATATATATATATATATATATATATATTATTACGAATCTGATGTCCAGCTACTAAGGTGGTGTTTGTTTTTGCAGAGATAAAAGGTTTGTAGTCTGCATACCACATCTGCAGACATCTGCAGCAGAAGAGGTGGACCAAAAGTCTGCAGTTTGTAAGAAGAAGACTGTTTGTTTTTTAACGTCTGCAGACCGCTAAAATGAACTGAAATATAAATAAAATGATTTTTTAAACTTGAAAGAGTTTTGCAATAGTGAGATTTAAATAATTTTAGTTTTACAATACTGAAATTTAAATAATCCATACAACTAAAATAATAAATTATTTAAAATAAATCAATCTATATTTTAAAATAAATCAATCTATTCTAATAAATTATTTAAAATAAATCAATCCATACTAATAAATTATTTAAAATAAATCAATTCATATTTTAAAATAAATCAATCCATACTAATAAATTATTTAAAATAAATCAATCCATATTTTAAAATAAATCAATCCATACTAATAAATTATTTAAAATAAATCAATCCATATTTTAAAATAAATCAATTCATACTAATAAATTATTTAAAATAAATCAATCCATACTAATAAATTATTTAAAATAAATCAATCCATATTTTAAAATAAATCAATCCATACTAATAAATTATTTAAAACAAATCAATCCATACAACTACAATAATAAATCAATCAATATTTTAAAATAAATCAATCCATACTAATAAATTATTTAAAATTAATCAATCCATATTTTAAAATAAATCAATCCATACTAATAAATTATTTAAAATAAATCAATCCATACAACTACAATAATAAATCAATTCATATTTTAAAATAAATCAATTCATACTAATAAATTATTTAAAATAAATCAATCCATACTAATAAATTATTTAAAATAAATCAATCCATACTAATAAATTATTTAAAAATAAATCAATCCATATTTTATAATAAATTAATTTAAAATAAATTATTTTATAATAAATTAATTTAAAATAAATTATTTTATAATAAATTATTTTAAAATAAATTATTTTATAATAAATTATTTTAAAATAAATAACCTTATTAAATTATTTAAAATTATTTTAATAAATAACAATATTTTATTATTGTTCTTGAAGAAGTTTGAAGACCTTTGAAGACATAAAACCATGTCTGCACCAAGAAGAGCTCGTGCAGACGTTAGAAGAACTTCTGTCTTCTAAAAAACAAACGGTCTGCGAAGCCTAATATATACGCATGGTCTGCGCGACGCAGACATAAGAGGTTTGAAGATGTGAAAACAAACTAAGCCTAAAACTAGACATTTGGACGTTGGGAAAAAAGAGAGAGAAAACCCAGGGTTGAAAATGGGAACATATATTGATGAACATTAAATCTCTTCCTCCTCCTATACTAGGAACTAAATTTAGGGTTTTACATTTCTTCCACTATTTTCATTTATTGGAGCTTAGGTTGCTAGGGGAAACAACAACAACGACTATTGCACGGATTCACCACATATCACATAAAATTTTATTATAATCCGTATTAGATACGTATATTTATACATCCAAGTTCCAACTTGGTTTGATGCTACGTAAATGACGAGTTTAAGGATTATCGAGTTCAATCACAAAATATTTGGATCAACTGATATAAAATTATTTTAATTTAATATAAATATCACAATACTAAATATTTGATTATGGAATTTTATCAACATTCGTTTCATATTTCGTAAAAATAACACAAAATAGTGTTTAAAACTAATAGATTATGATTCTCCAACATTTGGTTTTCAACCCCTAATTTAATTAGTTGGCAAATATGCATTTAAATGTATGTATTAGGGATGATGACACTTGCTCAAAGTCAAATAGCAGGTATCTCACACATAATAAAGTGGCTGTACAGACACACGTGTAGAAACTATATTTATATAAAACATGTACATGTATGCAAGTATAAAATGTTTTAGAGAGTGGAGCCACACTAGCATCTTATAGATCATTAGGTTATTTAGATTTGAGAAATTGGAAACACAGATAAGAAAAATACGATATTATAAAATTGTACTCTATTATAAACAATATAATAAATACAACGTACCATGCTCAACGAGATTGATAAATTAACACCAACTACCCACTCTTCCTTCATTAAATATGCCCCTCCCCTTTGCATTTATGAGCACCAAATTGTACTACTTTCAGCTCCCATCATTCTTCTTCATCCTCAAAAAGATTAAAAGAAAAAAAAAAACTTCAAAGTTTTGAATGGCACTTGGTGTAGTAATCACTGCAGCGCTGGTCTTCGTATGGGCTGTTGCTAGGGTTCAGCCCTCAACTTGCCATGTTCTCGATGCCAAATTCTCTTGCCTCGACTGCAAACATTATTACGACTTCTCAGGTTCTGTCTCTATAATGTTTTGTTAAATGTCCTTGTTACGTGTACTTAATTCATGTAAATTTTGCAGGCATCAAAGTTGCAGTGAAGTGTGATAAAGTGAAGAAACTAGCCACCGCAACCGCCGAAGAAAATGGCGCTTTCAGAGTGGAGCTTCCATTAGACAACTCAAACGGTAATCCACCAACATCTCTCGATTGTCTTGCCAGGATCATCGGTGGACCGAACCAGCTGTACGGTGAGAAAAAGAACACGGTGTCCAACGTTGTGAAGGTGAGCAATGGCGGCGTGAACTCTTACACCACAGCCACTCCACTTTCTTTCTCAACTTCCTGTCCTTTGGCTTCGTCGAAGACCGTTGATCTGCCACTACCGCGGGAGTGGGGACTTGCTCCGTCGAGCTATTATGTTCCTTTCTTCCCCATCATCGGTATCCCTTGATGTTGCCGGCTTCTTCCAGGTTCATCTTAGTATAATAGAGTTATTAATAAGTATTTGGGATAAAGACTTATTATCAGTATGTTTATATACTTCTTTGCTGTAATATATTATGAGTGCAGTCTGTTGTAATATTTTAAGTAATTTCTATTAATTATGTGTGTTTAAGAGTGGAGAGAGCTTGATGTAATCTTTGTTTCTTGTTTAATACTAGCATTTTGCAGTTTTATACTATAAATTCATGGTTCTTAACCGTTTCTTAAGCAGTTTTATTGCTGTGATGTTTGTTTCTATGTTATCCAATTTTTTAAATATTTGATTTTGACATTTATTCAATAATGTAAAAGATCAGTCTGATAATGATAGCGGGTGGGACATCTGTAATTTGTTTCAGGGTATAAAACATAACTTTGTTAAGGATGATGACCATTAAAAGTTACAAAGCGATCCCTCCATTATAGGATGTTGTTCTATTGAGATCATAATTATTAAAAGTTATAAAATGGTAACTTAACTATTTGTATACTCTAAACTTTTTTTTTTGTTAAAAATTTGTTGAACGTTAACTTGACTATAATACGATAAAATTATATTTTAATGATGTCTATTGACACTGTCGTTTTCAAACACTGAATCAACAACAAAATGTAAACAGAGTATAAATTTAAAAAAATATAACTCAAACAGTCATTCGACTATTTAAATCATTTTTTTATCACGTATTTTTAATAAAAAATAATTTTATAGATGATTGATAACCGTTTTGTTTTTCAAAACACATATATTTAAAAGAAACGTTTAATTAAAAACAAATTTAACAATTTTTTTATTTTATTTATAAGTTGGTATTTGTTCATAATCTTTATTAACTATTAATAAAACACACACCCTATAGATTTAGTTGTTCGCTCGAACCTATAACTTCAAGGGAGGACAATACTCCATTTAACTACTCAATAATTTCTTGTTGGTTAAAATTTAAACGCCTATACTGTTCAAAAAAGTAAACCTGCAAAAGTATCAAAATATAACCTTCCAAATATATCGAATATATCTAGATCTGACATAAACATAAATTAGCTGACCCTATTCTCATATGTAATGGGGTAAGGGGGAGGTAGGATAGTAGGCTGCCCCCATTACGCTAGGTTGAGAGCAACTTCCGTAGAAGACCTCTGGCTATTATGAATTACCCATTATGGGACTCGACCCCACGACCACAAGATTAAGAGTCTTGCGCTCTACGACTGAGCTAAATGGACAATTCTAAATCTGACATAAACATGATATTTCTAAAACACTAAACATACATGTCACGTGCGGATCCCCTACTTATTGGGCTGGTTTTAGCAAAATTTTTCTCGCACCTAAAATTGATCCATTTTAAATGATCCCTCGTGATATTAAAACAAAAGTGAAATCAACTCAGGAACCTCATGGGATTTTCTTAATTTAAGGTTTACATCAGAAAACATTGCGTATAAATGCATTCGCATACAGTGTTCTACGTAAGTGATCAAGCAGTTTTTACCTTTCAAGAAGGCGGCCGGCGAAATAAACCGATTAGGTCATCAAGACCCTGTAGAAAAGCATGGTCATTAAAACTTTGATGTTAAATACAGCAAATAAAAGGTGAATGTTCAGTGGTTTACGAACTGGTTAACGAGTGAATAGAGTTTATTTTTCTTTCCACGTTTTCACTACCTCCTTTTTCTTTCCGTTCATTGACTGATAATACAGTTGAAAAATGAGGGGGAAAATAATACAGCTTAGAAAATTACATAATCTTGAACTAGCATGCATCTGCCGTACATTTTCTCTCGTTTCCTTCCAAATTGAAATCGTTCGTTTATACCTATGATGATGGAAAATGATCATCCGCTCAGTTTCGTTCCACTCAATTTTCCTTCTACCAACCACACTACACTTAAAATTTATTTTGAAATAGAATTTTTTTTCACTTGGAGTATTTCTTTATTCTAACTCCCAATTGGAAAATAAGTTATCCAAGACATTTGACATTCCCCGTATCTTAAATATTATGTATTCTTTAAAACTAGTTCAATTGTAAGGAAAACCAACTTATTCTTAAAGTGCATATCATTGTCTTAAAGAAAGAAACATAATGGATAAGATCAAGAAAAGGAATGGGAGATAAACCTTCTTCAATGCCATGACAAAAGGGTCATTCTTTGAAAGAAATGGAGCCACTCGAGGTGTTCGTGATAAAATATCCGGCCAAGATTGCACATGAGTAGGATTGACAACCAAACTACCACCATCAGCAAAAATTTGGACATTTTTCCCCTGGTGCCTATATATATGCCTCTGCACATATTGGTAACAATTTAAAATAAAATGTACATGGTACTGCACAAGCAATGATTAAACCTTAATGCCTTTGCACACAAGTTAGCAACTATCTAAATACTCTTACTATGCGTATAAAATAATAATAGAAAAAAATAATCACAAAGATAAAGCCTTTGCTAACTAGTTGGTTAGCTTACATAGATCATATACAAGAGTACTCTATCAAGAAATAGAACAGAAAAAGCATGGTCCAAATCACACTTTCAACTCTAGTTGGGCCTTTGACTAAAAAATCCAAAAGACTAAATTGCCCCAAGAACCAGCATAAATGCAATGCTAAATGTTTTCCACCACAGAGAGTTGTAATTAGTTTTTCCCACGCATTAATATGCACCGGGTGAAATTTTCACTTCCATGCTTTTACAAGCAAATCCGTAACATTCCACATAAGTGCATCAACCGAGAAGTTATTCATGTCACTATCTCATTTGGCACTGCTTTGGTAGAGATCAGACACAGATGTCATTGGCCACAGTCCACACATTGCCTCCCAAAAGCTAGCAGGTTCCCATAAATATTGCAAGATAGATTTCCATTTTTTATGCTTATTCATTGTGACAAACTTATTTTTATCATAAGAACGGCATTCAAAAACATTAAATCAATATACACTTGTAGATCATTTATCTTACCGCAAGACTTTCAGCAACTAACTTCACACCTCTAGTGATTGCACTTTCATTCACAAATTGTCTGCAAAATAGTCAAAGCTCTCGGTAACTAGTCCAAAACACAAACGCACACTGTGGGTATTGGATAATAAGGGCTCGAGTCTGAAATATTACCTGCTATCAAACAGACCTCCAGTTCGCTCCAGGAGTTCAGGAGAAACAGATATTTCCGAAAGAGTGGCTGCAGTAACTCAGTCGTGAGAACTGTTCATGCTCCCAAGCTACCAACAGCAGACCAACAGCTTTAATACCAGATCTAAACAGCAGAAATGCAACAACACAGCAACCTTACATCTATCCTCAGAGTGTTCCCGTTAATAGATGTACTGCTCATTCATGTGTGATGTCATTCGGCAAGGTCATATGTTATCAAGCAATAGCAAAATGTTCAGATTTAGCAGATCTGTTTCAAGAATAAGTTGACCATTGCCAGAAAAGATGTTCTGAGCAAGATAGGCCACACAGGATCATAAAGGGCAAAGAGGTTTTCTGCAATTTGAAGGGGGGGGGGGGGGACAAATTCATTCATAGATACCTCAAATAAAAGCTTCATAAATATTCTATTATAAACATACAACATGTTCTTAATTTCAGAAACTGATGACAGAAGATGGTTCAAACATTGAAACATATACATATATCAACTTACTCGAGGATTGGAGAAGTTTATTTTCTTGTGCTTCAAGCCAATTCTGATATCCAACTCCTCTGCCACGTTAGAGAAACCCTTCAATAACACCATGTATCAGATTCTAAACAATGGAAAGAAAACATCATATAATGCATTAAAGACCTATTATTCTAGAATCTAGATGTTACCAGCTTATTGCCATAAGAGCCTGAGTCGGTAAACCACATTTTCTGTCATTGTGTGATTGTGTGGAACCTATGGCAAAGGTGGTGCACCTTTTTTAACTTGAGGGTGGTGATGCCAAGAAATACAAATGTTGGAATGAATTTCAAATGTTCGAGTCGATGCTGCTGAGAATTGGTCATTGGTGTAAATGTAAATAGTCGCTGGCGGCCCCTTCGGTCCTGGACTTCGCTCAAAATTCTTCCAGTGCCATTTAGTCAATGATCTAAAAGACTTCCCTGTTGGTTTACGTCTAATAGGACTTGTTTTCTTAGTTCCTAAAGGGTTTCTTGAATCGTACTCTCACCCAAAAGGATTCGTAGATGGCAATGGAGGATCGGGGTGATTTTCATTTAAAGCATTGACTTTTGTAAATATTACCGAGTTTTCGCTCGAGCTTGGCTGTAAACATGTTAGCAGTATACTTAGAAGCTTCCTGAAGATGAAGCTGTTATAACAGCCAAGGTTGTTAGCAAGTTAGTTTTGTTAGTTTTGATTAGTTGTTCAGTTAAGGTGGTTGTATTAGCAACTGATACAGGTAAGAGTAGTAGTATATAAGGAGCACCAATCTTGTACTCAAATACACGTTTTACATAGTAGCAATATTCCGATTATATTCCTCTGTTATTCACATTTCCAATATGGTATCTTTCACCAAGGTTCTGGGCATTTTGTTTTCACGCTTTTAGTTTTTCTTCTTTTCTGTTTTTTCACTCATGGAGTCGAGTCAGTCCAAGAGACCAAGAGCATGAAGAACGATAAGAAAAAGAAACAGAAGAAGGAGGTGCAAGTCTCCATCACCAAGAAACATGAGGAGATGGTTCAGTTCATGCAAAAGTTGGTCCTCGGCTCAACTCCGTCCGGCAATCTAACCGTCGAGGAAAGGAACAGAATCGGACTCACGGAACGCTTAACAAACATATTCGTTGGGGAAAACGATGGAGATTTGCTGATTCAACAAAGCGATCGAGAGGATAGGATTTTGCAATGGTTACAAGCTTTGGATGTGCAAGTAATTGGCGCCTGTCGGATCGATGAAAGGTTAAAGCCATTGTTGAAAGTCAATGTCTCAAACGGCAACGCTGAGGATCGATTGTTAGCTCATTTGAGTCAGCACTTTGAGCCATCGGAAGTTGGTATGCTGGCAAAGGTTTTT